TTTTGGGCTTTTTGAGATGAATGGGCCTTTAACATTATGGTCTAGCCCAAGATAATACCTTTTGCTGCGGCCCATTTCATGCACCGCTAATATTTAAAAATACATAATACATATACGTGTCATTTAACTTGGGTCTTGGCCTTAGCTGAGAGTTATGCCTTCTAATTTTGCGTGCGCATAAGTAGATACTTAAACTTGTATAAATTTGAACAATTAGACACATACGTCCTTTGTGGCATGTGACGTGTATTATGTCACGTAGGTCACGTGTATTAATTACTTGTTCAACTTTATACAAGTTTAAGTGTCTATTTGTGCACACCTAAAGTTAAAGGGCATAGATGCCAACTGAGCCCAAGTTAAAGGGCACGTTTATGTATTGTGTTATTGAAAAATTAGCCAAATCTCAAAATTAAAGTGGTAATATTTAACCACTCTTTAATACAACTATCAACATGCGCAGTTTCGTCTCACATAATGGAGTTTGGGGAGGATACAGTACGCACACTTTACCTCTACCTCAGAAGTAGACTAGTTGTTTATGATAGATCCTTCACTTAAGAAAAACAGTTCAAAGCAGTAAAAACAACAGATAGTAACAGAATAGTACAATAACAAAACAATACGATAGTCAACATAAGAGTACAATAACAAAACAATACGATAGTCAACAGAAGAGTACAACAACAAAACAATACGATAGTCAATAGAATAGTACAATAACAACAATACGATAGCCAAAGAATAAGAAACAACAGTTAGTAATAGAAAACAAAGGACAAGAAACTACAAGAATAATACTACAACTACAAATATGGACCGACATCAAGACAATGTATTCCTACCTATTAAACTTCTAACTCTAATATATATGTCCTCCATAACCTCATATCTAAGGTCATGTCCTCGATAAGCTTAGCACTCTTTGATGTGAAAAAAAGTTATTTGGATAGAATATCCTTATCTAAAAGATGGAAAATTTTCGACAATTAACATAATAGGTTGAAGTTCGAAATTTTTATAAGTGAAACTCAAAATATATTTTTCTCAACACGATATTTACCATTTAACACCAATACTGTTAAGTAGGCTAAACATCGTGTCTGATAAATAACATCATGTAAATTGAGACGAAGAAAACGTATATTATACAATACCATTATTAATTCCACGAGTGTCACAAGAAGTCTTAGAAACTTGTATATCTAATTGATAGGATTTCCAAGAAATTCAACTCCCAAATTCTAGACTTTGGAATTATTATTAAACAAGGTAAAACATTATTTTCATAGTATTAAATAGATTAGGACTAATTCCGTGTTCGGCTTTTTACTTAACAAAAAAGTCAAAAAGTCCATCCATACACTGAAAAGTACTAAATTTTGGAGAAGGAATCAGTCAACACACCATAATTATTGAAGTGGACAATTTCTAGGAAAGCAACTACATAAATAATAAAATAAAACAACTTTTATTAGTCTTTAGTTGCAATTTCTTTTTTATCTGCTACTCTATCGGATATAATATCTTTAAATCTCGCATAAAAAGTATTTTTTTTGAACTTTACTTATAAAATCATGCTAATATCTTTAAATTTCGCATATAAAGTACTTTCTTCAGACTCTACTTATAAAATCACGCTATATATGATTTAATACATAGGAGGAGGCAGCCTTTATGCTAAAGAAAAAACTTCCTATACATGTACAAAATAGGAAGAGTAATTCATAAAATTTACAAATATGTATATTGAGGTTCCGATTAATTCAAATTTGTGTCACTTAAGACTCACCCGAAACAAAAATACTTTCACAAATATTTATATTGAGGTTTCGACTAATTCAGATTTGTGTCACTCAACTAAAGCAAAAATACTTTTACAGATATTTATATTGAAGTTTCCACTAATTCAAATTTGTGTCAGTTAAGACTCAGCTAAAGCAATAATGTTGTCACAAATATTTATATCGAGGTTTCCACTAATTCAGATTTGCATCAACTAAAGCGAAAATGCTTCTAACAAGATTTTTCACACTAAAGGTTAAACCCGAGATCTCTGGTCGAGAAAATATCCATAATGCTCATTTCCATTTTCATTTTTATATGATTAGTCTTTATCATGAGTACCATATGTTTGATACTTTTACCCTGAGAATATCAAACTATGAAGAAGTCAAAAAATCATCAATATATAAACACAAAATTGAAACTTTTATTATAATTGCTTCAACAAATTACAAGAAAGTTGAGTTCTTAGCCTTACTAGTTTGACTGACCCCATTGCTACAAATAACTCAATAAGTTTAAAAAAGTGATATTTTCCTTCTTGATTTGCTAGGAAGTCTCTCAAGAATATCAAAATATGGAGAAAACCAATTTCAGAACATTTCTTGGTTTTGTATTAGTATTACTACTTAGCAGAATTTGTGTCTGTTGTGCTTCAGAGAGTGATGTTTATTGCTTGAAATCAATAAAAGATTCATTACATGACCCTTTCAATTCTTTGGGCTTTTGGGATTTCAGCAATGCTACTGAAGGTTTCATATGTAAATTTTCAGAAGTTCTTTGCTGGCATCCTGATGAGAATAAGGTACTGAGCCTCTCACTTTCAGGCTATGGATTAATAGGTGAGTTTCCTCGTGGCATTCAAAATTGTACAAGCTTGACAAGTTTAGATCTTTCAGGGAACAGCTTATATGGAACTATCCCTTCTGATATTTCAGCAATAGTTGAACATGTTACAATACTTGATCTCTCAAATAACACGTTTTCGGGTGATATACCACCTGATATAGCTAATTGTCAATACCTTAATGGTCTAAAGTTGGATAATAACTATCTAGAAGGTGAAATTCCAAGCAGAATAGGCTATTTGCCTCGCCTTAAGACGTTCAGTGTAGCCAACAATTACTTGACTGGGCCAGTGCCATTGTTTTATAGAGAAAGTATCACAGTTGAGAGTTTTGAAAACAATTCAGAGCTTTGTGGGAAGCCCTTGAAAGGATGTGAGGATTCTTCGATATGGAAACATGTAGATCATGCTTCGTTCATCAAAGCGTTTGTGATTGGTTGGGTACTTTTGTTTACATTGGTTTTAGTCCTTTGCTTATTTAAATTTCCTACCAAGGCTATCAACAAGATAGTCTCATTAAACATATGGAGGCTAGGGAAAAAGGAACATTTAACTTCAGGAAGTGAAGAGGAATTAAGCAGCCAACATAAGGTAAAGATCTTACTAAATTTGCTGCACTGCTTGTAGTCTGTAAAGTTACCTTTTCTTCTGTAGTTCTAATTTTGTGATTAGTCCTTGCTAGTCCATTATGTTATAAATTCTTTATTCGATCGATGATCAAACATGATAGCAATAAGGTTCTCAAGTTTCTGTTCTGTATATGTTCAAATGATTCAACTTGTTGTTTTAATTACAGATATTAAAGCTGGAGAAGTTTGTTACGAGAATGAACTTCACGGAGCTAGAAAATGCGACTTCTGGTTTTAGTGAAGACTATTTAGTAGGAAATGGAATGTTGGGCAAAGTGTACAAGGCAATTCTTCCAAATGGCTGGATACTTGCCATCAAGAAGCTCAATGACTGGGAGAATTTGGAAGACGAGTTTGTCTCGGAGATTACAACTCTTGGTGGTCTGAGACATCGGAACCTATTGCCTCTTATAGGTTTCTGTGCTGAAAAGCAAGAAAGACTTCTTGTTTACAAATACATGGCTAATGGAAGTCTTGATGAATGGCTGCACTCGAATGAAGTTAGCGCCAAAATTTTGGATTTCCCTCTGAGAGCTAAAATTGCACTTGGGATAGCGAAAGGCCTGGCTTGGCTTCATCATGGTTACGAATTGCACGTTACACATGGAAGCATAAGCACGCGATGTATCTTGCTAGATCAAAATCTTGAACCAAAAATATCCAACTTTTGGGAAGCAAAATTTTGGAGTAAGAATGATTCTGCATTAAGTTGGAGTCTTTTCCCAGTAGCTGAATATTCTGGTTTAGGCTCTTACAAGCAAGACATCTACTGTTTTGGTGTCGTGCTTCTCGAGCTGGTAACAGGGAAGGAACCACATGAATTGACTAGCTCAAGAAATCTATTCGATCACTCGCCTTGTCTACTTGATGCAGATAGAAATTTTCTTGGGAAAGGAGCTGATGATTTAATCCTCCAATTTCTTGAATTGGCTTGTGACTGTGTGAAGTTCTTTCCTAATGAAAGGCCAACAATGCTGGAAGTGTATGACAGACTCAAGAATATTTCTCAAGGTCGAAGGGACTGGATACAAAAGATACCATTATCAACCGATATTTCAAGTAAATATGACTAGTGCTTATGTTTTTATGGTTACTGAGAAAAACAAATTAGGAATACACTACATTAAAGCATGAAATCCGTGCTTCGAGTCTGTATGCTGATAGCTTCTGTTGCAACTTTAATATATATATATGAATACGTATATAATCTACAACATTGGAAAGCCTTACTGACTGCAGTTTTCAAGTCTGGCATTAACATCTTGCAGTTTCTTTAGTTAGATAGTTTTTATTTGCATATTGTAAAGAAGAGAAGTTGACTATGAATCTGCATATACTAATAGAACAAATCAATGGTATTTAATAGTTGACTTCATTGTGCTATATTGTGTAAGGTTGACAGAACAATATATAAATCATATTATTGAAAGCTTTCAGGCGGAGAAAATTCGTAGGAAGAAACTATACAATTGCTTACTTTTTCTTTTTTACCAATTCATTCAAAATCTTATAGTATATTGCTCATTTCCTCTTTATATATTCTGTTAATTCTTGTTTAATGAAATTCTCTTGTTTTATAATCCCCAAGTGTGCCATCCATTCTTATTTGTCTATTCACTTATTCCAACTTCCATATGTTTGAAAATTCTGTGATGAGAACATCAAACCAAGAATTCAAGAATCATCGCTAAATGAAGACAAAAATTGAAACTTTGTCATTGCTACAATATGTGTGAACCATGGAGAAAACCAATTCCAGAACAAGACCTTTCTTTTTCATCTGCGCATTTCTTGGCTTTCTATTGATATTACTTAGCAGAATTTGTGTCTGCAGTGCTGCAGAAAGTGATTTGTATTGCTTGAAATCAATAAAAGATTCATTACAAGATCCTTGTAATTCCTTGGGCTCTTGGGATTTCAGCAATGTTACCGAAGGCTTCATCTGCCAATTTAGAGGAATTGAATGCTGGCATGATTATGAGAATAAGGTAATGAACATTAGACTTTCAGACTCAGGACTAATAGGTGAGTTTCCACAAGGCATTCGAAATTGTACAAGTTTGATTGGTTTAGATCTTTCAGACAACAACTTGTATGGAACTATCCCTTCAGATATTTCCGTAATAGTTGAACATGTTACAACACTTGATCTCTCAAGTAACAAGTTTTCTGGCAATATACCACCTGACATAGCTAATTGTGAATACCTTAACTTTCTAATGTTGAACAACAATAATCTAGGAGGTGAAATTCCAAGTAGAATTGGTTCTCTATCTCGCCTTAATACATTCAGCGTAGCCAACAATAACTTGACAGGGCCAGTGCCATCATTTGTTAACATACAAATCACAGCTCACAGTTTTGCAAACAATTCAGAACTTTGTGGGAAGCCCTTGAAAGAATGTGAGTATTATGAGGATTCTTGGATTTGGAAACATGTAGATCGTGCTTCATTTATCGAGGCATTTGTGTGTGGTTGGGTACTTTTCTTTACATTAGTTTTAGTCCTTTGCTTCTTTAAATTTCCTGTCAAGGTTATCAACAAGATAGTCTCATTAAACATATGGAAGCTGAGGAAAGAGGACTTAACTTCAGGAAGTGAAGAGGATTTAAGCAGCCACCAGAAGGTAAAGATTTTGCTAACTTTCCGTCTTTTCTCCTGCATTGTTAAGATACATATTTTTGCTGTAGCTCTAGTTTAGTTATTAGTCCTTACAAATCCATCATGGTATATATTCTTGACTAAAGAGATGAATCGAGGTATAAATTCTTTATTCGATGATCGAATGTGATTGAAGTAAGCTTCTCAAATTTCTGTTCTGTTCTGTGTATGTTCCAATGATTCAACTTGCTGTTTTACAGATATTAATGTTGGAGAAGTTTGTTACAAGAATGAGCTTCACCGAGCTGGAAAATGCAACTTCTGATTTTAGTGAAGATTATTTGGTAGGTAATGGAATGTTGGGCAAAGTGTACAAAGCAATTCTACCAAATGACTGGACACTTGCAATCAAGAAGCTGAATGACTCAGAGAACTTGGAGGACGAGTTTGTCTCGGAGATTACAACTCTTGGTGGTCTGAGGCATCGGAACCTATTGCCTCTTATAGGTTTCTGTGTTGAAAGGGAAAAAAAACTTCTCGTTTACAAATACATGTTTAATGGAAATCTTCATGAATGGCTGCACTCGAACGAAGACAAGGCCAAGATTTTAGACTTCCGTCTTAGAGTTAAAATTGCACTTGGGATAGCAAAAGGTGTAGCTTGGCTTCATCATGGTTACAAATTGCACGTTGCACACGGAAGCATAAGCACACGATGTATCTTGCTAGATCAAAATTTTGAGCCCAAAATATCCAACTTTTGGGAAGCAAAAATTTGGAGTAAGAATGATACAGCATTAAGTTGGAGTCTTTTCCCAGTAGCTGAATATTCATGTTTAGGTTCTTACAAGAAAGACATCTACTGCTTTGGCGTCCTGCTTCTCGAGCTGGTTACAGGGAAGGAACCGCATGAATTGACAAGCTCGAGAAATCTGTTTGATCACTCGCCTTGTCTACTTGATGCAGATAAAGATTTGCTTGGGAAAGGAATCAACGATTTGATCCTCGAATTTCTAGAGTTATCTTGTGACTGTGTGAAGTTCTTTCCTAATGAAAGGCCAACAATGCTGAAAGTTTATGACAAACTCAAGACAATTTCTCAAGGTCGAAACGACGACTAGGTATAGAAAACTCCCTTACATTCAACTGGCATTTGAAGTCTATATATAGGACTAGTACTATTGTTTATAGTTTACACTATTGGAAAGTTATATTGATTGCATTTGTGGTTTTTAAAAGAATCTACTGATGCTGCATTGACTAGTTAACTTCAACCCCTGTACCTTTAACTAGAGGTCTCGAGTTTGAGTCCCTAGGGGCTAGGAATGGAAAAAATCACGTTGAGAGCGCTGCTCCTAGAAATGGACCCTTCAATGCCGCGAATTTGACTTTAATGGGGCCCTTGATTCCCCTGCTACTTGATCAGTAATATGTATTAGATGCTAACTACATTATTGAGTCTACTCAGATTGAGGCACCTAGATTGAGGCCACTATATGTGTGTTTTGATAACATATTTGGATGATAGTTCAGATAGAAAATTCCACGAAACTCAAAAAAATCAAAATATTGTAAGTGCGTTTTTGACCCTTCACTCAATATTTATACTAATAAGGAATTTTAAACAACGGTCGACTAGCTACTAATTAACCCTCTACCATCCTCAATATCCATATCCTCCTATTTAGAGTTACATACATTTATTTTAGCATTTAATCAAATATCGTTTCTAGTTTGATCATCGCAGATGAACTTACTGTTAAGTTTTATATGACATGAATCTGAATTAATCGTCCTGAACACCAAAGGATTAAAAACAATATTTTTAAAATTATATGTAGCAAATGATCATGCCATATTCATATTGTAACTTTTGTACCAAAAAGGTGCACATTTTTTGTGTACCATGTCTCCTCTTTTTGTTAAGCTTAAGCAACTTGAAACGACTTTATATTACTTGACGTGTTCCTTTTTTTTTTTATCCCAAATGTAACTTGACGTGTTTAATCTCTATTTTCAATCATCATTAAACTTGTAGGTCAAGGAAAACATTATTTGTATTTTGTGTCAATTAGACTTGTATATTTTTTTTTTAAATAAAAATAAATTAGACTTGTATATTAGAAAAATGTGTACTTGTTTTTATGTGTTTCATAATGGTGTAATTGATACGATGTAAATACACATAACTCAAATTTAAAAAGAAACTTTTGGTAAATCCATCTTTTTTAAATTAAAAAAAAAGTTGATCAGCAGATACTAGTAAGTAATTTTTTTTTTATCTTTAATTAGAGATTTTAGCTTCGTGTTCATGTATGAAATTGCCTATGGTAAGGTATGTTTTTTCCTTTACGATGACATTTTTCGATGCGAATCTGAATTAGTCGAGCCGAAAAATCCAAAAAAAAAAATAAAAGAAAATCCTAGTATATTTATTACATGATGGTGCAGCATCCCCCTCCCCCCCAAACCCCACCACCACGATGATGCACATACTCAGCCGTTATTCTTTCACAAACAGTGATAATGTCATCAACTTCTCTTTGGACAAACAAGAAAATTGTGAGGAAAACATACTATTTTATAAATAAAAAAATTAAATTTTTTTATGTAAACAATCAATTGAACTATTAAGATTCGCCATGTTTGGAATTTTTTTCTCAATTTTATCTAGCTCAAAATTTGAACTTTTTGTAGTTTCCTTTTATGTTTTGATGATTATTATTAATAAAAAAGATCAAATAGGTATGGATATTTTTATTTAGAAAAACTTATAGTGTGTTTGTCCAAATTTTAATTATTTATTTTAAAAAGTGATTTTTAATAATATACTCCATTCTTTTCGGATATATATGGCACATTCCGAATTTGGAGAGTCGAATTTTCTTATTTTTGATTATGAATTCTACGTATAATCTCTAAGTTTATTAAATAAAATTTATATATTTGAAAACTACATAAAAAGTACTACAAATCACAATAATTAATAATCCAAAATATTTAAAAGACATAAAAGAAAAACTCATTTGGCTCTTGAAATGAAAAAGACACCTAAAAGTCAATAATTTGTGTTTGATCAATGTTCCAAAAGTGTTTTGCGGAAAAATAACTTCTACTACTGCTCAAAAATATTCACAAAAACTTAGTAAACATCTTAATTTTCTAAAATAAGCATATTTTTTTAAAAATAAATAAAAATAAACAGTGTATTAATTCCAAAGCTAAATGGTTTTCCTATAATTGTGTAAACCTGTCGTGGCCATGTAGCACTATAAAATAGGATATAAATTGTTCATGCCTAAAAAGTCAATTAACTGAATTAATAAAGCTTAATAAAGAACCGTTTTATATGAAAAAAGATGCTTTTATATATATATATATATTCTTCTCTTTTTCTTGAACAAGTTCCCGTTTAATTTTTCATAACCAACTTTCACTTTATGTCATATAAAAAAATCATTTCGTATTAAATTATTTGTCGTATAATATATACGTCCCTTAAAAAAAATATTAAAATGAAAAATAATTAATTTTATCTCAAACTTTTAAAAATGAAAAATTATTTGAGACAACTGTTATTAAAAATCATGACAGATAATTTAAGACGGGGAATATTTTTTTCTGTTTAATAAATCGAAAAAGAAAAAAACATTTCAGGTCATTGACCATATTATGTGCCAAATTAAGCTCAAATGGTTTTCTTTAGCTTATTGCTAAAAAAAACTTTTTGTTAGTACAATTTTTTTTTTGGGCTAAACTCTTTAACATGTGACCAAAGAATATTTTTCTAATTGCCTTCTCTTTTCTCAAAATTTTCATTTTTTAAAGTAAGTTACACTGGAAAAAAAAACAGTTTTTCTTGCTTTTTTTTATTCCATAAAAAGATCATTCTTTTATGAAGTGGAAAACTGAAGAAGTTATAAATTAAAGCTCATAACTCAGAAACTGCTCATAATTCTCAACTCTTGAAATCTTCTCTATTTTTTTTTTTAATTTTTTAATTTTCATATTTCATCAAGAAACATGAAAATTAACAACCCCTTTTCTTCAATTCTTCTAATTTCATTTTTTTCAATTTTTTTCACTAAATCCATAGCTGATGTTATGTTTTTAAATGTTATAAACTTTGGTGCAAAATCAGATAGCAAAACAGACTCATCATATGCATTTTCATCTGCTTGGGACTTAGCTTGTAACTCTTCAAAATCATCAACAATTTATGTACCAAAAGGGAATTTTTTAGTTAAACAAGTATATTTTAAAGGAAAATGCAACAACAATGCCATAATTTTTCGTATCGATGGCACAATCGTAGCGCCTTTCGATTATAATGTGATTGGAAATGAAAAAAATTGGATTTTATTTCAAGGTGTTGATGGTGTTTCAATTCTTGGTGGTAATCTTGATGGCCAAGGATCTGGTTTGTGGACTTGCAAAAGTTCTAGCAAGAACTGCCCCAGAGGGGCTACGGTACGTTTAACTTATATATATTGACAGTATCACAGTAACGTACTTTGTTTTCTATGTTAGTACTAATCTCACTTTTTTATGAACGGTTACATATAGTTATGATCTTTTAGATAACCTGAGAGTATTACTTAAAAATTTCTTTCCTTTTTAGCAATAACTGTTCTAGGGGAGAATTTTAACTTATATACACTGACAACATAAAGAACGTAACTATATGTACTACTTTATCATGTTATAGCAAGTAACTTGTTGTTACGTATAAATATCTTTTAGATAATTTGATATCGTGATATAGGTTGATCAAAGACTGTTCATTACTAAAAAAATTATCAGTTTTCTTTATGAGTGTAACGTTTCCTTCAAATAAGGATAAATGTGTACTTTATGTGAATAACTGTCAAGACATTTTCTACATTGTTATTTATGGTTTATTAATTTTTTTGTATTAATTAAGTTCTGCTTTTTGAACTAAATTTAAAAATTGTTATTGTTTTCTTGCTACTTTTTGCAGACTCTGGGATTTTCAAACTCTAACAATGTATCGATAACGGGGCTAACTTCATTGAACAGCCAAATGTTTCATATTGTCATCAATGGTTGCAAAAATGTGAAGTTGCAAGGTGTTAAGGTTTATGCCCCGGGAGAAAGCCCGAATACTGATGGAATTCATGTTCAATTATCGTCTGATATCTCAATCTTGAACTCAATAATCAGTACTGGAGATGATTGCGTATCCATTGGTCCAGGAACTACTAATTTATGGATCCAAAATGTCGCGTGTGGCCCTGGCCATGGAATCAGGTAATGTTAGTGTTAAGGTCTGTCAAGTCGTTCAAATGATATTTATAGGTAAACCTCTTGAAAATGTGACACCTGTCATATTGAAAATAAGACATGTAACCTGTTACAACAGGTAAATGTGACGTGAATGTAGGACCTGTAGTCTTGAAAATAAGACATGTGACGTTCTATTCTACAACATGTAAAAAATTTCAAACTGATGATGTATATAACTTAAACTCCGTGTATTTTGTGCAGCATTGGAAGTTTAGCAAAGGATTTCGAAGAAGCAGGGGTGCAAAATGTGACAGTAAAATCAGTTATGTTTATGAACACACAAAATGGTGTGAGGATCAAAACATGGGGCAGACCAAGTACTGGATTTGTCAACAATGTACTATTCCAGCACGTTACGATGATTGATGTACAAAATCCTATTGTTATCGATCAAAATTACTGTCCGTACAACAAAAATTGTCCAGGACAAGTCTCGGGTGTGAAAGTAAGTGATGTTACATATCAAGATATACATGGAAGCTCAGCAACACGAGTCGCGATGAAATTTGATTGCAGTAAGAGAAATCCATGTAAAGGAATAAAATTGGAAGATGTTAATCTGAGTTATAAGAATGAACCAGCTGCTGAAGCTTCATGTGCTAATGTTGCAGGAACAACTACTGGTGTAATTCAACCTACTAGTTGTTTGTAAGGGAAAATTCGAGAAAAAATTATTCATTTTTTTCGTATATTTAGCTTAGCTTTGCCATTTTTACCTTTCGAATTAGAAAAGTTTACCTGAGTCTATAGCGCGATTTGAAAGTGAAATTGTTGTCTCACTATTCATTTTAATAGAATGTCTTTCTACTTTCGTCTATTTGAAGTTTCAATTATATACAATTGACTAAAACCAGAAGTCGCGATTTTCAGCTCCTTGAAGCTCATTGAACAGAACAGAACAGAACGAACGTTAACCAGGTTATTGCTATGACATTAGTTCATCGTTATATAGAATTTATATGCGGATTTGTTAGGATGAATAAAAATCAATAGAACATCAACAACCAGAATATATATATAGTAGTAATACATTATACAAAAGAATCGAAAAATACAGTTAATAAGTTGGAGCCTAACTAGGCCAGACTCCAAACAAGTAACAGAACAAATAAAAATTACATTACATTACATTCATTTTTTTCTTCTTCTTCTAGGTACATATTGCAAATTTAATATTCGTATATGAGTGTATTTCTTGGTTATATTCGTATACATAATGTGTAATTTTTGTTGTTATTTATAAGCAGCTAGTAAGTTCTTTGAAACCAGAAGCTTTTCCTGCAGCATTAACACATGAAGCTTCAGCGCGACCATTTTTATAACTAAGATTTACATTGTCAAGTGTTATTCCAGAACATGGATTCGTTTTGCTACAATCTAATTTCACTGCAACTTCTGTAGCCGATGTTCCATGTATGTCTTGATACGTTACATCACTTATCTTCACACCCGATCCCTAAAAAAAACAGAAAATATGTAATGCAATTAATTAGATTAAGGTAAAGGAACACGCGATTCATCTTATTTTATCATAATTCTGATGAATTAGTACCTGATGAGGACAACTTTCATGATTAGGACAGTAGTTTTGGTCTATGATTATCGGGTTTTGAACGTTAGACATAACGATATGTTGAAACAGAACATGTCTAACAAAGCCACTACTAGGCCTTGCCCAAGTTTTTACCCTCACACCATTCTGTGTCCCCGTGAAGGTAACCGTCTTAACTGTCACATTTTGTACTCCTTGCTCTTTCGATTCCCAACCTAAGCTTCCAATACTACACAAATATCGAGATTTGGACATACATTTTAGTCGAAAAAAGATGAATCAAACATAAGGAATTAATCATTGATATGTTGTGTTTCAAACCTAATTCCATGGCCAGGGCCACAAGCAATGCCTTCAATCCATAAGTTAGAGTTTCCAGGGCCAATAGAGATACAATCATCTCCAGTACCAATATTCGAGTTCCTAATACTCACTCCTGAAGATGATTGTACATGAATTCCATCAGTATTAGGGCTATTTCCTGGAGCTAACACCTTCACTCCTTGTAGGTTCGCGTTATTGCAACCATCTACTAAGATATGGAACATTTGGCTATTTTGTACAGTTACTCCGTTCATTACAATATTGTTTGAGTTGTAAAAAGCTAGAGCCTGAAACCAAAATTTAACGTAAAATATGAAAACATTGTTCAAAACCAAACATTTTAAAAAACATTTTCCATGGAAAACATAACGTACTGTAGTTCCTTTAGGGCAAGTCTTTTTGGAGTTTTTGCAAGTCCAAAGACTAGCACCTTGACCATCAAAAATTCCACCATAGATAGAAACTCCATTGACCTTTTCAAATGTTATCCAATTTCCATCATTGCCAATCACATTATAATCAGAAGGAGCTAAGAGAGTTCCATCGATACGTATAGTAATAGCGTTACGTTTGCATGTTTGACCATTAAAGTATGCCTTGCGAATCAAGTAAATTCCACGTGGCACATAAATAGTGGATGCGCTCGTAGAAGCACATGCTGATCCCCATGCACTTAAAAATGCTTTTGATGAGTCTGTTTTGCCATTGGATTTTGCTCCATAATTTTGGACATTGTAAATGGTATTGGATGCTAATGATAAGTTGAAGAAAAAGAAGAAGAAAATTGCTAAGGGACTCATTTTGCTAAGGGGAATTTGGTACAAAGATTTAAGAGGGATTTAAAGGATTAATTAATTGATCAAATGGATAGGTGAATGGTGATGAGGAATTGGAGTAGTTTAGAGGGATATTTATAGAAGTAAAAAAAGAAGAAGATATTTTTATCAATGAAAGTTAGGTGTTTCAAATAATATTTGGTCATGTTGGGATTTGGGGAAATGAGACTTTAAAATTACAGTCCAATAATATAAGTAATCACATGAGGCCAAAATCAACAAAATGTTGGCACGGGTGGGGAGGGAATTAGTAGTAGTGATTGGGGAATAAGTTATTTCTAAATTAATTATTTTGGGATTAGTTATATTAGAATTTTTTATTTCATTTTTAAGTGGGATAAAAATAACGCTACGATCTCGAGATAAGGTATTTCTGAATTAATTATCTTGGAATTAGTTATTCCAGAAATTTTTATTTCACTCTCAATGTGGGATAAAAACAACACTGCGATCTCGAGATAAGTTATTTCTAAATTAATTATCTCGGGATTAGTTATCCCAGGAATTTTTATGTCACTCTCAATGTGGGATAAAAATAAGACTACGATCTCGAGATAAGTTATTTCTAAATTAATTATATCGGAATTAGTTATTCCAGAAATTTTTATTTCACTCTCAATGTGGGATAAAAATAACACTACAATCCCAAAAAAGTTATCCTACATTTTTATCCTAACCAAATATAGAATAAACTCATTCTAAAATTAATTCCAGAATCAGTTTTCTCTTATTCCTCACACCAAGTCCTAACTGTCTTATTATAACTAGATAATGTTGCCCGTGCATAGCACGGGCCCAATAATATAAATGGTATATTTTGGGGCTAATAACTGAGTTTTTGAAGCGATTGTTTGCGTGAATAAAGGAATAAGTTTTTTTTATCACAAATCTGTATTTTGTTTGACGCTATTTAAGGCATAATAAGACTACCCACATACAACATTTTTGAAATATTTTATGTTGTCAATTATCATGATTTATAGTATTTTACGCAATTTTTAAATATAAAAATAAAATAAAAAATAAGACAAATAAATTAAAATGGACCCAATATATGTTATTTTTGTTGTCTAAATTTATGTGACACAAATGAAATTTGGAGAGTCATCCAAATTTTCAATTTTTTTTAAAAATGTTTGAAGTTATTAATTATTGTGATTTATAATATTTTTATGTAACTTTGAAATAATGTACATTACTGGTCACTTTGTCCTAATTTATGTGATATGGATAAAATTACAAAATTAACCCTTTTAAAATGTCTTTCAGATATTTTAAGTTGTTAATTATTATTATTTATAATACTTTTTTGGTAATTTTAAAATGATATGTGTTATTTTTTCTGTCCCAATATATGTGAGCCTGATAGAATTCTGAGAGTCAACCTATGTTATTATATAGCTTTTAAATATTTTAAAGCTTTTTAAGTCATTTGTAAATGATATATGTTGCTTCCTTGATTGGGACTTTTCCATTTGTGACACATATATAGATATTTGGTGCCCGGGCCAGCACGGGCCCAATAAG